CCAAGCAGCACCTGTAATGCGAAAGACCAAACTATAAATTGTGAAGATTAATTTAGTTGATTGACCCCATGAGCTAAATACTTTCATTAACACAAAAAATTTAACTGGAATTGACGAAGCAAATGTGCTAGATGCAAAATATAGAATATTAAGATAAAGAGTCGAGCCGTCAGATAGAGTTGGAGTGAATTTAAATAGCGTTTAAGAGGGGTAAAAAAGATAAAAATTTACAAAATTTGTATAAATATCAAACATAAAAAGATGAAAATATAAATGCCAGGCGTTATAAAACAATGAATCTAAATTAATCAAATAATTACATAATAGGTTTCAAACCTGTCTTAATTCAGAATCAATATAACTGGCTCCATGAAATTGATCTCCACCAGAAATGGCTTTGGATTTCAATTCATGAATTCTTCCTGTTCGTAAATGAGATGCTGACTCGGGTGCAGGAGGATTAATCAGCCAAGATAAAGATTTGAGTGATCCAGTGGCTTGAAGCTGACGATTTGCTTCGAGAGCACCATTCGAGTAGTATGAATAAAGAGGTATATTAAAAGGTATTGTGGGGGACTGACGCGGTGGAGAAGACTGCTGAAACTGTGGTACAGTATTCGAGGCATCGAGTTGCTGGAGGTGTACACGATAGGAATTGCCATTGCTTAACAGAGAAGAGGCTTGGCTCCCCGTACTATGGTTTATATGACGAATTTGATTGTCAATGTTGACAGGATTAGAGAGTACTGAACGTGTTGCTCTAAGCGATGAAGGCGTGTCTGTAGAGCCGGCATCGCTCATCAGTCTGTTCATACCATTCAGCAGACAGGAACCATTATTGCCTGAACTGCCGACCCGATTCAAAGAAAATGCCCCACAGGTGGCTCCATCACTATCTAAATTGGAGGCAGAACTAGAATCAACACCTAGACTCTTGAGAAGAGCTGATGTGGGATAAGATTCATTTTGAATATTACTCTAAACAGAATAAAAAACAAGCCGTTAGCGTTATCTCAGATAAGAGGAAAAAACTGTTAATACCTACCAAATGCGAGGCTGCAATAGCCGAGTTAGCTGAGTTAAATAATGAGGTTGTGTCGCCGTTGAGCATATCATTCATACTACCTAAATTGGAGGAAACCGAGGTATGCCTCATGATAAAGTTGTTTGAGTTAGAGCCTGGTAATGAGGAGATTCCAACAGTATCGGACGTATTTAATGGGGGACTATTAGTTGTATGGGAATTTATGTTACATGTACTAAGTGAATTTGGTAAAGGCGGATTTACTGTGTTGAGAGTTGTAAATGGACGCCCGGAAAAAGGGTATACAGGACGAGTGGGTAAAGCCTCTGTGGCAATACCACCATTAGTTCTAAAAAATGGGTAATTTGATATAGATTTGTGTTGGGGTTGTGATAAGGAGAAAATAATATCAGAATCACCGCTATTATGAGTGCTACGATCCCCAGGCTGATTGTGCCGGAGCTAAAAAAAGTATTAGACAATTAAAAAACAAAGATTATTCG